TGGTATGATGCAAGTCGGTATCTTGCAAAGTGTGTAGGAGACCGGTAGTAAATTTGTTAGGAAGTGAGGAAGAAAAAACTTGATGTTTACGAAGTAGTACAGTGAGCTGGAAATCTCAAAGTATCATCTACATCAGTTATGATATACAAATGGTTAACTGTTGAGGGGTAGAGTTTGCCATTTCTGAGATGCTACGGTTGTGGTTGCGTGTTTCTGCTACAGAAGACGGTATTAAGATTCATGGAGTGCTTTTTTGGACATGAGTTAGGTGAGATGCAGAGTTGCTTACTTTTCGACCGCCTTCGAGAAAGGGTTTTGGGATTTGGAGCTTTTGGTATTTCTGTGTATGTTTTAAAGCGACAAAACTGCTTTTAGGTCGGCAGTTCTGGTGGGGACAATGGTAGAACGTTCGTGGCGCGTAACTGCGAATGGTTATGTCAAACAAGTAGTTGACGGTGAGTAAAAGTTGATTTATGTAAAGTCGTTCTTTTTCTCCCAAGTTTGTCATTAAGTGTTTGGCGATAAACTACGGTGAATAACTTTTTTGAGGTTCAGTTTTTTTTGTAGTGGTACATTAAAACAGTGCAGATATGAGTGTTTTATCTAGATTGGCTAACTGCCACGGATTTGTAATAGTTTCCTTTTTTTAATAGCAAAAACGTTTCAGTACTATAACTTCTTACGGACTTTAAGTAGAGGTGTTTTATTCAGATTGGTTAACAGCTCCCGACCCGTAATAGTTCCGTTCTTTATTGGCAAAAATGTTTCAGTGCTAGAACTCCTTAGAGGCTTAATTTAGTTTTTTAAGATTTGTTTCGAGTAATTACAATTATGTTTCCAAAGTTTAAGGTTACAGTCGTTTTGTTTCTGAGGTACGAAAGCGTTGTGCTTTCTCGAAGTTGTCGAAGAATCAACTAAAGATGTTTAATCTTGATTAAAATAGAACAGATAGCAAAGAGCATTTAGAAGAGGTTAGTACATGATTCTGGCGAGGAATAAGTAAAAAACATCAGCTTCACGGTTTTGCTGAAAAGGAAGCAGTTTTTTTCGTTGATTTAAGTTGTTAGTGCCTTCTTATTCTGTATTATCAGTTGTTTATGGAAAAATTTATTAGTTTTCGTTCTATCCTTGAATCACTTTAAAATTGATTTTGCTGGAAGTTTTTGGGGTAAATCTATTTTTAATTTCAATTGGACTCTAAGTTTTGTGCAACATAACCGTTTAAAATAGTTTTTTAGCTGGCATGGATTATATGAAGAATGGAGGGGATCCCCGGATTGTCTTGATTGCTGCAGTCGTTATTCTTTTCAATGCTCTACCATTTATTGCTTTTTTGATTTTCGCTACGATCTCAAGTGCGGTTATTCTTGGCGCAGCATTCCTGGCACTTTGTAATGCTTTACTTTTGTGCGTTGAATCGGGTTTTTTTGTGATAGTTTTTTTGACTTTGAAGCAGCTAATGAGTTGAAAGAGAAATCTTGTATTAAGCTAGACGTCATTATTGCAGGTTTGGCTGTTGCAATTGGTACAATTATTTATCTTCCAATATTATTGTTTTGTACTGTCGCAGGTGTGGTAGTCGCATCTTTCATCATACTAGTTTCATGCTTTTTTGAAAAAAGAAACCCGACACCTGATAGTACTACCGGTTCTAACCACGTGGATTAGACCATACGACTTTTAAAAGTTCGTACTTACTCTTCATGCTTTTTCCTATAAATTTATTTTTTCTGTTTGTAAGGTCCTTTCATATTCATTTATATTATTAGCAAATCTAAGTTCTTCTAAATTTTAGGAGATTCTTCCCGATCTTCTTGTCATGGAAGGTTATGTCACTTACAGTTCTCATATTGCATTCAAGGCCGTTAACTTTTTTTTTTTATCCTGAAGCGGCGGCAATGTTTTCAGTAGGGTCTCTTCAAGAAATCATCCTCAGATTTATCAGTTTTGAGACAAGTTTTGCTGAATTACAGGTGAAGTTTTCAAATGCATCAGAAGGTTTGGGATCAGAGAAGTTTTTGTTGTTATTTCTTTTGCTTCACCGTATTTTGTTGCATTTGCTACAAGCACGATTGGGCACGAGAGTCTGCTTTTAGATAGCTTTTGCTTTTGCTCTCTTTTTGACTTTAAAATGCTTCATAATTATCTATAACATGAGTTTGTTTGTCACAGAAATGCAGTTGTTTATGCTGCAGGCTACTGTAGCGAAAGACCGGGAAGCGGTTGCCCGATATATTTTCATTTTTTACATTTCTTTCATCATGTTGAGTTTAAAATTGATAAGTTCTAAAAGTACAAATATCTGTCATTGTTATATAATTAATTAACTTTTTTGTTCTATCCATTCCATTGCGCTGTTATGTGACTAGTCGTGTTTCATTTAACATGATATTCATTGCCTGTTGCATTTATTATACAGAATAAAGTTTCAGAAGGATTACTGAAGTTGTGCAGCAATGAAAGCTGAACAAGTCTCAACCCTGTTCACCTTGAATTCTTGTTTAGTTTAGGGGACGCGTTTTTGGAATGCTGAAAAGTATAGATTAATCCCAGAAAACTAAATGAAGCGAGAGCTGTTTTGAAACCAACTGCGCATGTTTAGCTGAATAGGGGACTAGTAGAGCACTTCCGAACATTAGAGAGATTGGTAAAAGTTTTTGGTTGAACGTTTGTTATGGAAATAATTTTTCTTGAAAAAAGGCGGTATGTTCAGCTTTCCGATAGATTCTTATGCCACTGCAGTTGTAACAAAGTTTCATTTCCAGTGTCTACAGTAGGTGTTGTCTAGTTCTAAAGACTGTTTTTATACTAAGGTTTAAGTTTGAGCAGTTTTTTCTACAGGTGATAACTGATGATTTCTGGTCGCTGTTCAATTCAGCGAAACAGGGCTTTTGCTGTAACGTTGTCGTCCTGGTTAGAAATATGACGCTTACAAATAGCGTCTTTACAGCAGATTAGGATCATGGAAAACTGTTAATTTTTACTGCGCAGAAGTGAATTATAATGAGGGTCAATCACTTGTTTTCTGAAGTCTTTATATTTTTTGCAACTATATACGACCTTTTGACTGCGGAGAATGATTGGTTGAATTTGAGCACTACTTAGCTGCTACATTTCGCTTT